AGGAGAGGAGAGGAGAGGAGAGGAGAGGAGAGGAGAGGAGACAAAAGAAAAAGAAAAGAAAAGAAGAGAAAAGAAAAGAAAAGAAAAGAAAAGAAAAGAAGAGAAAAGAAAAGAAGAGAAAAGAAAAGAAAAGAAAAGAAAAGAAAAGAAAAGAAAAGAAAAGAAAAGAAAAGAAAAGAAAAGAAAACTGTTTGTTTTTTCTGAATCAAGGGATTTCTTATCTGAAATCTGGAACAGCAAAGGAATCTAAGACAAATTAGAGTTCTGCCAAATTTAATAGAGTCCAGAGACATTTCCTGGAAGACAATATCTGTTTCAGCTGGAAATACAAATTCGTCTCAATGAGCAGCAGGAACACAAAGTGTCACGTGGGTATGAGATGGATTCTCACAAGGGCAGATACACAAACACCAGCACAATACTGAGGCTACAGATTTCACATTAAACCAATCCCAAAACAGGTGAAAGAGTAGTGGGAAAGAGGAATGGGAACGGGCATCTGGTTCTTCTCAGAAATTATATTGACTCTCAGTTTATGCAGGCAAAGACAGGACAGAGGCTGTGCTCCAGTCTCACCTCATTGCAGTCCTGGAAATGAGCATGCATGCCTCATGGTGCTCTTCCAGCAGACCATCTGCCTTCCATGTTTGCTATGCAGGCTGCCAGTGATTTTGGTTGGTTGTTGTGTCATAGCTTCCAGGGATTCCCAGCACATTCTTAGGTGCCATGAGAACAAAAAGGGAAATGATTTGTGTAAATGGCAGTGGGTAAGGGAAGGTGTCCTTATGATGCATCCTTAGTTCACAGTCTCACCCCTGGCTGCCTACAACAGGGAGCAGCTTAGCCCACCTCATTCAGAGCTTTCCACTTCCTTCTACGTGGTGTTTGAAACAACACCTGATGTCACAGAACAACTGATTCTAAACTCAGCATACACAAATACTGACCTGACAAATATGTCTCTTAGAGCTATCAAATAGTGCTGGAACTAATCTCTTGGTCTTGCTCAGATGCAGGAGGGAGGTGTACAGCTCAGAAGGGCAATCCTTCTGGAGAGACCAGCAGAAAGGACACAGGATCACAGAGCACCCACCTTGAGGTCCTGATCTGCCACAGCTTCTGTGCTTCAAGTTGTGCAGCCATTTCTTTTGTTGCCCTTTCCAACAATTAAACAGATAAGCAGTTGTGAGTGTGAGTCGCTGTGAGTTCACTACAGTGAAGAAGTGACATGGAGCCAAAAGAGGTAACAGGAAGCCTGGAGACAGTTGTCCACATTTCTTAAAGTGTCTTTGCTGTTAAGAATCTTATGCTTCCCAAGTGACAGCTATGTTTTATTAATGGTGTGTTTAACAACTGTCTCCAGTGAATATCCACAAGAGATCTTATGGCAATGGGAAGTGATAATTAGTAAAATAAAATACTGCCCAGGCATCAATACGCCTACCAACATCATCAACTATGGTGAAGGCATGGGAATCCAAACCTTCTGAGGGACAAGTGCCAATCTCTGCCCTTAGAGTGCCATTATATATAACATGCATCACATAGTCAATACTTTCCTGTGAGGCACCACATATTAAGCTGAAAAAACTTTTCCAATAAGTGGTTTTCTATGCAATGGGGGATAGCTAATTGCTAGCGATTCCTTGCGTCATTTGTGTTCAGTGATGGTCCCTCTCTGTGCATCTCCCCCTAGCAGGAGCATGCTGATAGGATGCTAACAAGCCCATGATGATGAATTTCATTTGTTTAACAGGTTTCCAAAGATAGGTATTACTAATGCAGACGTAACTTATTTATGCAGAAACATGTTTTGACTTGGCTTGTACACATATTTAGAGGGATTAATGTTGATAAATGTAATAACTATTCTTTCCATCATAACAAGTGATTGGCACTGCCAGAGGTTCAGTTCCTCCTGAACACACCTAATTCCATTATCTGCATCTAAGGATTATCAGTTACTGTCTCCAACTTGGAACAATTACTTGCCTCACTTAAAAAATGATATCCAAACAAAAGAAAGACACACAGTGAGCAGCTGAGGTCCCTGGGTTTGTTCAGCCCAGAGCAGAGGAGCTGAGGGGAGCCCTCATGGCAACTGCAGCTCTCACAGGGAGGGAACAGACAGCTCTGCTCTCTGGGGTCAGCAATGGAACCTGAGGGAAAGCATGGAGCTACACCAGAGGAAGGTCAGGCTGTGCTTCACCAGAGGGTGGTGGGCATAGAACGGGCTGCCCAGGGTGGTGGTCACGGCCCCAAACTCCAGAATTCAACAAGAGGTTGGACACTGCTCTCAGACACAGGGTTTGGATGTTGGGTGGTCCTGTTTGGAGCCAGGAGTTGGGACTCAATGATCCTCATGGGTCTTTTCCAACTCAGGATATTCTGTGAGTCAAAAATATTATTCCTAAATTATCACTTAAAGCTAAGAAAAAAAATCAGCCAACTTTTGGGACCTTGAGGCTAACAGGCTGGGAAAGATGACAACACAGTTTAAAGCAGACAGACAACAGATGCCTGAATTGCTGACTCCACCACAGCTGAAGGAAATAATGTTACTTTTTCACTGGAAGCTGTTGGTAACAATTGCTTCATAGTCTGAGTCCTTCCTTCTCCTTCATACACATATTTGAAAATTGGGCATTTAGAAAGATATTTCAACAACTCAGCAACTGTGACACCGTATTTTCAGGATACAGAGATCCTGGGGCAACGCCCAACATGGCTTTTACAAACACTCATGGTATGATGAGAACGAGAATCATACACCAAAACACAGCTATTACCATTTCACTGCAGTATTCTGCATTCTCACAGTCTGCTGCATAATTAAGGTAAGAACACGCATGTGAGCATGACAGTGAGGATGCATTTGTGCAGACCTACAGAAGTTATCTTTTTAACAGTGCCAAACACCCTAAGTTTTGGACAAATTTATTTGCAATCAAATCAGGGATAGAAAACTGGTCTCTTAGTGTACAGGCATACCCGCAGTGTAGCTCAGTATATACTGGGCTTTGCTCACACTTTCATCTTCACTTTTGGATTGTACCAGAAACACGCTGAGACAGGCATTAGGCCATAGATCTGCCTGTCCCCTCCTGGGTCCAAGGGCAGTTCTCAGTCAAGTCTAGGAAGCGTACAGCTAGTTTTCTATCTAGGACGATTATTCCTTAGCAGCATTCTTCATCCCACAGGCAGGCACTAAACATACTGGTGTGCTGGGCAGAGGAACCTGACGAGCTTCAACAAGAGCAAACGTAGGGTCCTGCACTCAAGGAGGAGTAACAGTGTGTACCAGTACATGTTCCAAGTTGACCTGCTGGAAAGGAGCTCTGAGGAGAAGGACAAGGTGCCCTTGTCACCGGGAAGGCCAAAGGTAACCTGGGGGGCATTGTAAGGAGCGTCAGCAGTGGTTTGGAAGAGGTGATCCTCTCCCTCTGCTTTGTTCTGGTGAGGCCACATCCTCATATGGAATATTGTGTCCAGTTCAAAAAAGGCAACTTTTAGAGAGTTCAGCTGGGGTCCACAAAGATGATTAGGGGCCTGGAGTAACTCCCATGTGAATAAAGGCTGGGAGACCTGTGACTCTTCAGCCTGGAGAAGACTGAGAGTGGATCTCATAAATATTTGTAAGTATCTACAGCACAGGACTCAAACGGATGCAGCCAGACTCTTTTCAGTGATGTGCTGCAATAGAACAAGGAGCAAAATGGGCAAGAACTGGAAAATAGCAAGTTCCATACAAACATAAGGAAGAACTTCTTTGCTTTGAGGGTCACAAAGCACTGGAAATGGCTGCCCAAAGAGGTTGTGGAGTCTTCTCTGATTCGAGACCTGTCAGAATGAGTTCCTGTGTGACCTACTTCAGAGAACCTGCTTTTGCAGGTGGCTGGACCAGATCATTTCCACTACAATTCTGTGATTCTGTGACTTCCATCCGTGCACTTTTAAACTATTTTAGTATTTGACTGTCAATCAAAAGTATTTCTGCCATTTAGCAGTTAATTAGTATCTAGACAGCTGTAGGACCAAGCTAGATAAAGCTACCTTTTGAGGCTCAGTTAGCACAGTATTTGCCTCCTTATTCTAGGCACAATTGATGTCAACCATTTAATTTCTGCAAGGTACGGCATTTCTAAAAGGAACACAAGACACAGCAGGCATTGAACTCTCTAGAATTATTACACTGCAATAAACTGCACTAAATAAATAGCAAGATTTAACAAAGCACTCCTGCATCTTAACCCCAAAGTCATTAGGATTCAGGCAAGTGCTCTGTCTGGGTCAAGTATTGACCCATTTGGAGAGCCTGCTGCGTCTCTTGAAACTGGAATTTGCCTGGAGGATCACATCACTGTATTAAGATGCAGAAACATCTCAGCAGCCAACCCTCATCTTCAGACATGTTCTCAGCAACCTGCAGCTCACACAGATCTAGCATACTCTCTTCAGCTCTCACAGAAAAAAGTTACACATCCATCAGATTCTCTCCTTGTTTTGACTTCAGGGTATCAAACAGAGAGGAAAATTTTCTGGATAAAAGCCAGAGAAAAGGAAAAATGTCAACAGCTGCATGAAATCCATAATTTCATACTGTGCTGAACTCCCTGGCTACTGCTCCTGCACTTCTCTTTTGCAAAATTTTTTCACTAGAAAATGTGGATTCTACTTTTGGTTATTGGATTGCAAGAACATTTTGCATTTGTAGGAGACAGAAAAAAAAGAAATTAAACAAAATGAAGGAGCTGATACACAGCAAATATGCAGCATATTTTGCAGATTTATTAGTGTAAGGGATGAATGATTTCTCATCAAACATTTTAACTTAATGCCAAAAGTTGCAGTTTATTCATGAACTGAGCAATGCAGAGCCGTACAAGCACTGTGGCTGACTGGTCTCAGATCAGTATCAAGACATCAAAAGCTTGTACGATGAGCACTCAATGAAAATATATAATTAAAACTTCCATCAAGAATAACATTGCATAAGCCTTATTTCTTAGACCAGTTTAAAACACTTCAATGTTGTAAGTAACTTCACTCTCCAGACCATGTTAAAATATGCAGAGGTAATTCTGTATACTAGCATACATTCAGATTACATCCTGAAAACCCCAAATTCTGTCTTCTTCGTAGGTGCATTTAGTGCTGCGCTGAGACTGAGGCCCAAAACCAATCTAGTATCAGCTGGATCAATAATTCCATCATCCCACAACCTAGGAAAAAGACAAACAAACAACAATAATTAAAAAAATTAACATACATAGCAGGTATATTTTCGAAGCACACAAAACTGAAAACAGTTACAGTAAACAGCAAGGAATCAAGCCAAATTATACATGAAGCTTTGTATAATTCACCTTACTATGAATGGAGTAGACCGGTGTGTAGTATTTTGTGCAATCTGAAGAAAGCAGAAAGTTAGGGTAGCGTGGAAAATGACTTTTCCTCAAGAAATTAACTTTCTCTATTAAAGATGCTAGTATTTTAAAGACAATGTCACGGCATTATGTACATTATTCATCTTAATTCAGCTGCCATTAAGCTTGCTTAATGTGTTTATACCTTCATCATTAGAAGAGACTGCTTAATTTTAAGTACCTCCATTATCTGCCCTATTAATTCTTCTGAAGTCCATTTCTAAACCAGAGCAAGCTAATATCCTCCTTTTTACAGCTCTGAAGACAATTAAACTATGGATGCATGCTGTGTCAAAATTCTGAGGCTAACATCAGATTTCCAAATTCACAAACACTTGGAAACAATCTCTTTGGCATTATCTAAAAATTAAAGTTCTTGCTGCATCATTTCTCTGTGGCTACATCCTACCCAAAATAAAAGCCATGCCAAAACTCCCAGCAGGCCACAAAACTGTAAATACTGTGCATATGCTATCTCCTCAGCAAGACATTTAAACAACATTGTAACTCAAGCCTTCCTTATAAACGCAAGTATTTTAACCAGGATTTGCAAGAACAGGTACAGTACTGCAGTTGAGACAGTGATGCTTTTCTTTTATCCTATCTTTTCCTAGTGAGATTTATTTTCCATCTTTTCTGAACTTATTGCAGTGCTGTCATATCTACTGTTTTATCTCAGTCTTTGGAAGAAGTGCTCCACTATTGTTATTTTAAAACTACAGGAAAGGGTCATGAAAAGGAAGCTAATGCTGTCTTTTTACTAAAGAAAGCATAATCATCCCTTTCTAACCGAATTTTCCAGTTGCAAATTACCTGTTGTTTGAGTATTAATTGAAAAAAATCCGATTAAAAAGAAAACATCTTAATGTGGACATTTCTCTCAAAACTAAAAGCCTACTCTCAAAAAAAAACAGGACAAGAAGATGTCTCTAAGTACGTGCTGATAATCTCAAGGCACCACCAGACACTACTGACAGCTTTTCATCTTCGCTATATTTTGCCAGGCAAAGGAGCCTGCCACCCTCAACAGAGCACAAGAACATTCCTGTAGTACAACTTTTAATGAACACTTGCAGTGAGCTTTTTATTTATGAAGAAGACTGAAACTAAATGAAGTAATTCATACTTCTTTAGGAGTGTCTAATAAATGTGCTGAGGGCTGGGGAGGGCAGAGATGAACTGAATGAAAAAGGATCACCCACTTCATGTGGTATACTTCCATGCTGCAACTTCCTAGTAACTACTGCTGTAATAAACACACCCAAACATGAGGTACATTTTAAAATGGCAGATTTGTTTTCCATAGCAACACAATTAACTTATATCCACAAACACACAAGTTCTGTGCTGCATAAAAGTCAAGCCACTTTCAGATGGTTACCCATGGCTTCTGCTTCTCTTTGTTTAAACAAAACTAGATCCTCTACTGGGATGAAACATTAATAATTGAACTACCTATTAAAATCCCACTGCTAGAACATGAGTCACATTTACACTCATAAAACATTCATAATAGAAACACTGTGAGTAAAAGAAATGAACAGCCCCTAAAAGTTCACGTAATTTGTTATGGTGCAAATTGCCGAAACTCCTTTTAGAAACCTATGAGTAGATTAATATAGCTCATTAAAAATGGTGGTGCCTAATGACTTCTGTTAATTAAGATTGCTCAGTATGAAAGATTCTAATCAAATAATTGATTAAAGTTTGATTAAAAAAATACAACTATGGGGAACAGAATTAATATTCTGTACATGAAACAATTTGATATTTATAAGAGTAAACAAGGAAATTTCCCTGTATTTTAAGATCATTAAGGCATTTTTCTTTCCTCTTATTACTACAGCTCAAAGCTTGAGTCAAAGCCTAATGAAGACAACTGAAAGGGCTACATCAATCTCAGTGGACATCAGAGGTGAGATAAAGTCCCCATAAATTAGCAAGAGGACAGTATGAGTGAGCTTCCAGACTGTCTGCATCCAAGCAGTAGAAGAAAGCAGGCTTTATTTTCATTTATCTTCCCTTCCTCTCTATAATGAAAAGATGTTTGTTGGAGATTTCTCCAACAAACTTTGTCTTTTTGGTGGAGGGATCCAGTTAGTCACAGAATCATAGACTGACAGAATCAAAGAATGGCCTGGGTTGAAAAGGACCACAATGCTCATCTAGTTTCAACTCCCTGCTATGTGCAGGGTCACCAACCAGCAGACCAGGCTGCCCAGAGCCACGTCCAGCCTGGCCTTGAATGCCTGCAGGGATGGGGCATCCACAACCTCCCTGGGCAACCTGTTGCAATGCATCACCATCCTCTGGGTGAAAAACTTCCTCCTAATATCTAACCTAAACCTCCCCTGTCTCAGTTTAAAACCATTCCCCCTTGTCCTCTCACTATCCACCCCTTTAAACAGTCATTCCCCTTCCTGTTCATATGTTCCCTTCAAGTACTGGAAGGCCACAGTGTGGTCTCCCTGGAGCCTTCTCTTCTCCAAGCTAAATCCTAGTTAGTGTCTGACAAAATGATGGCTGTCTAGATCCAGTTTCAAATAGATACAATGACACATGGCTCACAATTCACTGTTGTGTTTTTTGTTGTTGTTGTTGTTTGTTGTTGTTTTTTTTTTTAAACCAAGCTTGGGATCCCTTCAGAGCAAAGGGAATCTTTCTCTGATCTACAACAAATGCTTGCTCAATTAGCACTACTCATATGGGCTAACAACAGGTTGGCACCATGGTGCAATATCCCTTCCTTGTGTACATTACTTGCCAGAGGGAATGTAATCCTGCTTTGAATCTTTGTTTCTGGTCATGCAGTCTACTCTACAGTTTAAAAAAAATGTATGAGTGAATGGTCTGAAATCTTGCTTTGGAATTAGCAACAAATGAAAGAAAAAGGCACATACAAAGTAGCACTAACAGGAAGTCAAGAAACAGAGGCAGAAAGCCCAAGAATATCTACCAATAGAGCCAGTTATCTCTACCAGACAGCATAGAGCAATTAAAAGCTCCTATGCAGTGCAGACTACACCTACATGGACAGATGAGAGAAACCAACCTGGACTGCCTTGATCTGGGTCAATCACTCACCACTCTCACAAGTGCTTAGTGACAAAAGGCATTTCACTTTCCTTGCTTTTAGACAGATCAGTCTCAGAGGAATGTCAGCTCTGACATTTGACTTTGCAGCTCAGTTGGGGTTATTATCCTGAGTACAGCATCAGCATCACAAGAATTCAACAAGACGCAATCCAGATCAAAGCTAGTTCTCAGTCAGCTTTCAGCAAGTGCACATACATTGCCCTTCCAAGATACAGGCAGTAGTTCATAATAACCTTGCTCTTTCTAAGTGAAGAACATGCCTCCTGCTGCTAATAGTATTTCCTAACACCTAGCAAAGTTAGGTTATACAGTGAGGTGCTTATGGATCTGCAGCCTAGCTTTACAGACTGGCCAGATGCATGGGGAACAAACTAACAAAACCTGGTCTACAGAGGGCTGGAAGTTGATATTAAATACTCAATTTTCATACCTACATTACTGCTTCTTACAAATCCTAACCTTATTCCTACAAGTGAATTTATTGCTGCAAATCATTATAATACTCTGTAGTTTTTTGGGAGGGGACAAGATTTTGTTTCATCACTATATTGACTATATTGGATGCTAAATGAATCCAATTATTCTCAATCATGAGTACAGAGACTATGACTGTGTCTTCAGTGAACATATTAAAAAGAGAAAATATAAGAAAACTGAGATCTTTCATTTCCTCCTTCATGGTAGGGATTCATTTTAAATACAGACAGATTGACTCATTTTTTTTAATGTTATTATTTCAGTGGAAAATTCTTTTCCTTAAATCTAATTATAAATGATGACAATACGTGCTTCCATTTTTCCTTTTTTTCTCCAGGGAGTAGCACAAGGTTTTGTGGCAGAGGTACCAGGCTTCATTGTTTAACAGTACTAACAGAGATAGCACAACTGACACCATCTAAATTTGTGGGAAATCCTAAAAAAATAATAATAATAATAAACATTAAAAACATCGGGGGAAAACAAAACAAAACAAAACAGTATGTCACTAAAAAGTTCATGTCAATAAAAAATTAGGACTTCACAAAACTATCCTAATTGACTATATGCAAAAATCCCAAGAAATTCAGTACCAGTGGGAAGCTGCACTTACACCTATAATTTCAAGAAAATATTCATGATGACTTTCTGCAACACTACCATGCAGACCTCAGCCAGAAGCAGAAATCACAGAGAAGACAAAAACCTCTTCCTGAACCACTGACCCACATGCTATACACCTCAACTACTGAAATCTGCCTAAATTACACTGCAAATGTCACAGTACCTTACTGAGAATACACAGCCCATCACAGCACCAAACAGAGAGAAACAGCTGAGACCCTATGAAGAATTGGCTTGTGAATATACCACAACCAGAAAATAATCAGAATTTTTATTGTAGACAGCATGATGCTAGCATAGAGTAACAACCAGAGGCCAAAAAAGCCTCCAACCTATTTTCCACAGGCAACAACACTCCAAGATGCCACTCTATTTCACCAGCTTAACTCCAAGGCATTTACAGTATTTCAGAAAACAGAGCACCAAATGCTACAAAGGACTACCATAACAGACTTCTCAGCAAACACACACCCATGAGCTCATGCCCTATCTGAATTCCTATCACCTAGTGTGCACGTACATGACCCAAGATCTGCACACTGCTTCAGGTATCACTGACTTCTACATGCAAACCCCACTTTCCTGACAAACATGGAGTCCTTCAGTACATTTCAATGGCTTTTAAAAGGTGAAGTGGAGAGAATGAGATAAAATTTATCCAGTACAAAATATACAGAATTATATTTTTCTGAAGATTGGTTACAGAATATTTCGTTATCATATAATTACTTACAGAACCAGTGTAGTAATTCCTGCAATTTCTTCTGAAATAGATTGCAGTACAAAGTCTCAGAGATGAGACAAAATATTATTTGATGCTTTATTTGATGCTTGTTGTGTTGCACTCCTGCACATCAAACTAAACTTTTGTTCCAGACTGCTCTGTTTACCTGTCCTTCAACACTAAAATTTAAAGTTATTATTATGTCTTGTGATTATAATCAGATTTTGGAAAAGCCATTTTCTTGTTACCGTGCACTGGAATAATAAGGATTTCCTTCCTCTTCAAACCTCCTAATGATCGGCTCCTTCAAGGCTTCTTCATCTGCCTTAGACAACTGTAACAAAACAGGCAAATCAACAAGCACAGAAAAAACATTCTTTAATATTTTCTTCCACAATGGCAGCAGAGCTTTATATGCAGCATCAAACGAAGAAATTGCTGAAATAACTGTTCCAAAATTTTTCCACCATTTTGCTTACAGATTTAGCAGACTTGGTTGTGGAATTACTTTTTGAAAATGGGATGAATGGGAAGAAGAAAGTAAATAGATAGGCAGAAAGAAGGACATTTTACCACATTTATTTGTCACATTTACTAGCTGATAAAGTCAGATTAAGAGACTTAAATGAATGTAAAAGTAATTGGGGATTAATATCAGAAAAATTATTGAAGCTATTTTATTGAATACAACTTGTTCTGACTTGCCTTTGGCAAGACTTTTAATAAAACGAACTTGTGCTGTTCTAGTACTATGTTTCTCTATAATCCAGAGTGGTGACCACTGTAATTCACAATACTTCCAACTCTCCCATAATGACAATCTTCGCAGACCTCCTGTATGTCATCTGATCAAGCTTAGCAACTTGAAAAGTTGAGAAAGACAAAGAAGGATGAGTATGTTTCATCCACAGAAAGACAAAATTAAAGAGTAGAATTAACAACTCCAGAGATGAAATAAGTTTCACTATTCTCAGTAACTGCTCTTGGTAAGAAAAGCAATTCTATGACACTGCAGTAAAATCACTTTTTATGGAATCAACTAATGTACACTACTATACACTTATAACAATGTAAACAAGCCAGGTAATTTAAAAATCACAGCAGAGAGGATTATATGGAGAAACTAGAAAATATTATTGAACTAAATACCAATAATTATTAGCTATAATTATTAAGTAAGTCAAAGTCTTTTTCAAACCTCCCCGTGCTTCTGCTATTTTAAGTCTCATTATTCTCAGTCACTGAATGATGTGAAGATCAGATTTCTACAGAACTGCCTACTTCAGAAGTAAATGGAAAAATGCTTTATTCTCACTTGTTCCTCATACTCCCAAGTGGGTGTAGGGGAGTGGGAGTCCCCTGCTGCTAATCTTGGGCAGATAAATAATTGCATGCAAAAAAATCCTATAAGATGATGATATAAGAAAAGCTTATCTTTTTCATCAAAGGCAAGAAATGTCATGAACGACCTCCACACTTAGAAGACGTAAATAACAACATTTCACAAATGTTTCATTGTTGTCAATGTACCAGGTGGCATTAGGAGAACCACAGCTCACCTGGTGTCTCCGTAACACACTTCCTAGGTATGTAATGTGAGCACCTCCAGTGAAGCAGTAAATGATAATGACAGTACCACAAATGAAAGACTTACCTGCTTTCCCTCTCTTGCTTTTTGGTCCTTAGCTATCGTAGCTAGAACAGTTGCAGCCTGTTCCCCTCCCATCACTGATATGCGAGCATTTGGCCACATATAAAGAAATCTTGGACTGAAAAGATATGTGTTGAGTATTAAAATAAGACACTCCGTAATTACACAGTAAAGAATTATCACTCAGATGTGTTTTGTGCACAACAGTCTAACAATTTATTGTTTTTTAGGGAATCCAATTTAACATACTAACTGCTTGTTGCATTATGTTTCAAAATGCAGAAATTCAGCTCATTCCTACATTCAAGCACCTTATACATTTCTTTCTCTTCTTAGAATCCCCTAGGAATTTTTCTTGGATAAGTATCACTAACAACTTCAGTAGTATCAGGGACCTTGAAAAGTAATTATGAAAATCTTTAATGAGTCATGTTGAGTAAGCAAGAAAAAAAAAATTGTACTGCAGGTTTTGCAAGTACTGATCATAAAAATCAGACTTGTTAAAGTGAAGATATAATATTTTTTTTTTTTAATTCAAGCTAGTTCTCTTCACATGTATGCGCAATAAAGGACCAGCCCACACTAACTAGAAATTGTTTAGGACTGTCAACTTCCTCCCTCCCCAAACTATAATGGCAGAAAAGCACATCAGCATGCTCATATGATGGAAAATCATCTGCTACCTAAATTTATGTAAATCGTGAGTCTATCTACCTTGACAGTTTTGTATAGTTGTTATTTACTTATGACCACATTCACTGAGAATGGCTTTGTTTTCCAGTACAACTTCTAAAAAAATTACAGCAGCTTTTCAGAATAGCACTTTATCACAGTATTTTAACTTATTCCTGCTGTAATTTGAAGTAATGCTTACCTGTATGCTCTTCCACACATCCCATAGTTTCCAGCACCGTAAGAGCCACCAATAATGACTGTTATTTTAGGTACACTGGCACAAGCAACAGCAGTTACCATCTTTGCACCATCTTTTGCTATCCCTCCTGCTTCATATTCTCTACCAACCATGAAACCTAATGAGTTACATGATGAAAAAAAAGACTCAGTATGAACTTTGTACTGTCATACTACACTGTACTTTGCAATATGCACAATAAAGCTCTTCAAAAAAACAACCAAAACAAATCATCAACATGGCAAGACCACCATAAGCTGCACTCGGGCTGACTCTAGAAGAGACTATACATGCAGATAAGCATAAAAGATGACGACTGGAAGTTAGAGCCTCAACAGTTAACAGCATAGACTACAGTGTTCTGAAATTTCATTATGCTGAGCTTACCTGTAATGTTCTGCAAAAACACAATGGGAATATTTCTCTGGCAACACAACTGGATGAAATGTGTACCCTGTGGGGGAAAGAAACAAAAAAAAATGAGGCAGTAAGCCTTTAAATGTCAAATCAGTGAAGTCGTAACTACCAGCACTTTGAAGTCTGTGGCAGAATAACTTCCATGGATTTTATCCACAGAAGTCCCTGGCAGCATCTGTATCATGCTGCGCTGGCCCACTTCCATTACATCCAAAGTCAACCACAAAACACACATTCAAACTCTAGCAAAAGAAAAAGCTAGAAGTATACCAGTCCAAAAGTAAAGGAAAAATAATATTCTTAAAAAGCATTACCAATAGTACTGAAAAGATCAACTGTTTTACTTGGCCAATATGCAGTTAAGTTGAAGACAGCTTTACAGTATGGCACTGAGTTATGTAACACTGTACGTGGAAAATGGGCAGCCTGTCAGAAAATACTATTCCAGAATGAAAGAAAATTATTCTACAGAATTGAGGGAAAAAAGGGAAGAAAAAAAAGTAGCAGTGAAGTGACTGGGAGAAACTTGTAATTTCTTCAATCAGCAGAATTTAAAAGAAAAAGAATACACATACACATACAAAAAGGAAAACTATGAAGTATAATCTTTAGCTAGCTTTTTCAGAGAAACACCCCAAAAATACAGTGATGATCAAAGGAAGAAGATATGTCATCATATTTTTGCCATACTTAAAAAATAAGTTTACAGCAGCAATGCTGGGGACAAAGTGAAACAAGTAAAATGTGGCCATCTTCTCTTTAGACTACTGATATGTCAGCAAAAGTCCCAAACCAAGGAAGATTCATTTTTTCCACTGGTAGGAAAAATGTGGCTCCTCAAAATCATTATAGAAATACTGGGAGTATCAGAAACAGTGGAAGTTATTTTCAACTTGGAGATAACTGTGTTGAATAAACACAGCTGAAAACAATGTCACTTAGTGCAGTGCTCAAAATATTTCCAGCACATAAAGCTCAATCTGAACAGTCATGGCTGTGAGGTGAAGTTCCTAGAACATGAGAGACGAGGAGGTGATATGAGAGAGTTAGCACACCTTCAAAAAGGTCATGCCTAACCCACTGGATGGCCCTCTGTGATGGAAGGATAACACTGGTGGACAAAGGTAGGACAGCTAGTGTTCTCTATCTGGACTTATGCAAGGTCTCTGACATGGTCTCACATCACATTTTTATTTCTAAATTGGGGAAATATGTATTTGAAGACTAGACTATTCTAAAATTCTAGAAAATAAGGTCAATTATTTTTACTGTAGTAAGGTATTTCTTGTTTACTTGAGAAATCTGCGGCTTGTTAGTTTTCATTATTTAAAAAAGTTCCTCACAAACAAATTCTGCACCAGAAATCTTTCTACTCAATGGCTAAAAAGCTCTTTATTTACCTTTTTTGCTGACTCTGAGAAGAGAACTCCATTGTTTCCAATAATTCCTACTGGATAACCAAATATTCTTGCAAATCCTGGAGAAGAAAGGTAAATATTCCACTTATTTTACAGTAACTCATAAACACACTTTCTCTTCACAATGGAAATAACTATTTTTTTGTGGGAAAAAAAAAAAACTTCCATTGAGTGATCCAAACAAAACAAATCCAAGTATGAAAATCAATGAATACACAGAGTAATTATATTTTTAATACCTGTGATTAAAGTATCTCCGTACAAGGCTTTGAATTCATCAAATTTACTCCCATCTACAATTCTAGCAATAACCTTAAGAAAAAAAAAAAACAGAAAAACACAATGAAATCCCTAATCCTTCACAATTCTACTTTTGTTTTTAGAAAGAAAGAACATACTAACCCAGCTTATAATCAATGCTTTCCATTAAAAGGTCATCAAGCAGCCCACCATGTAAGAGTGTGGAAGGCAGCCTAAGTGCATTTACTCTTTGAAGTACAATTTATTTACATGTTCATAAGAAAAAGGAATATCAAGGTTAAGAATAGTGTGATTAAACAGTAAAATTATGTAAGCAAAACTTTTTCTCATTTCTTCAATTTCAATGGAAACTGGTACAGAGGCTGCAATCTCTGAAGGTTTTGCAGAAAATAATTACACCAGATCTGCATTAGAATACAATAGTTTCCATATGTATCTGGGAGAGCAATTAATTGTTTGGGGTGCTTATACTTTAAGTATTTGATCTTTATTTTTCTCCAGGCTAGTAGAAAAAGAAAGCTATCATACCACTTAGCAAGTCTATAGAAAGTTAGGCGAGTTCACTGCCTCCTGGCAGCCTTTTCAGGGTACTACTGATCTCTATTCTTTGCTCATCCTTCTTAAAATTAGGACTAGAATGCATTGTATTTTCAACACGTTATTGTCACTGCAATGGATGTGTCAGTCAAGAACACCCAGAAAAAGGTTAGAATTCTGTAATATTTAAACATACATCATATGCTCCATCTCAGATTTCTGCAAACGAACTACAATGTTATATTCCTTCTATTTCCAAGAAAACTGAGTGCATGCAGACATTCCATTTATATTCTTACTTCTTTGACATCAAAGTTTCTTTTTAGCTGGTCACCAACTATTCCATATATTTCATCAGCAGGAAATAAAGGTTCTTCTGATGGTTCTATAGACACCTATAGCAATGGAACAAAAAATTTTACACAATTAAAGGCATTATTTGTCCACGTTACAATTTAAAAACAAAACAAAAAACACTAGTTAGTTTGACAGTTGATTTGAATCCAATCTTGACCAACCACATCAGAATGTCTCTGGCTTGTCATCATCATGCAAAAAAATCAAGTTTCCTAAACAGAAGAATAATGATTTCTCACTTACTGCTGCTGACCTCTGCATGTGCTTCATACTACAGCTTCTTCCATGACATCAAAAACAATAAGCAAAGGGGAAGGAATAGATTGCCCAGTGATGCAGTTGATGCCTCTGTCCCTGGAGACTTTTAAGTCAATGCTAGATCAAGCCCTGGGCAACCTGATATAGCTGTGATGTCCCTGTTCATTGCAGGGGAGTTGGATTAGATGATCTTTAAAGGTCCCTTCCAACTCTAAGGATTCTATGATTTTGAGATGCCTTATATACTATGCCCTATTAGCTAGTATTCTGAAAAAAACCCACAAACAATAACTTCACTAAATATAACACTGTGTACTCCTTCAACTGCTGAAATTTTATCTTCAATTCACTCTCTTACATTTCATACAATCATCACAGAATCATAAAATGGCCTGGGTTAAAAAGGACCACATGATCATCTAGTTTCAACTCCCTGCTATGTGCAGGGTTGCTAACCACCAGAACAGCCTGCCCAGAGCCACATTCAGCCTGGCCTTGAATGCCTGCAGGGATAGGGCATCCATGACCTCTCTGGGCAAAATTTTCCCTTGCCTCACCACCCTCTGAATGCAAAACTTCCTCCTTATATCTAACCTAAACCTCCGTTGTCTCAGTTTAAAACCACTCCCCCTTGTCCTATCTCTATCCGCACTCATAAACAGCTGTTCCCCCCTCTTCTTTCCCTCCAGGTAGGTTAAGACAGTACCTCCACTATATGACATTTGCCATGTCTTCTAAAACAACATTTTAAATCAAAACAATACATTACAAAGCCTAAGGCACCAAAATGACATGACATAGCTCCATCCTCTCAGTTCTGTATCTTTTGTTAATCACCACATAAAATACGTGTTCTAAGAGATATTTTAGCAGGTATCTAATTTAAAGTCCATGGGAATGACCATGTGGTTTTAAAATTAAATTAGGCACCTGACAAGACTAAATTCATTCTAAACTGGAATTCCGCAATTCCGAAGTGCTGTTGCAGTTACAGTGTGTGTTTCAGTGTTGCATGAAATCCCAGTGATTTTGTTAGGAATAATGCAATAGGAATGTAATTATGGAAGTATCACAAAAATAAATTGAAGATTAAGAACCATAAATTCTATTTCCAAAGCATCTAAAGGCAGAAACAAATAATGTATTGTATGCATTATGTGAAAAAAAGCATTTCTACTTTAAAAAATGCAGTGTTTTTAGAATAATCCACTATATACTTACATCTACTTTCTTTCGGAGATTTAAGCTTCTTACAGTTTTCCTTGCCAGATGAAGTGCATGACTGTCATCCAAAGCATAATGATCTGTTACACCAGAATGTCTATATTTAAGTAAAAATAAGAATATAAAGACTTTTTAGAAGTCCATGAATCAGAATAAGAGTATTTTAAAACTTTCAAGGATGTATATTTAAAATATATATACTGCATAACATTTCCACGTTATCTTACAAAATTACATTACAAATAAAACTTCTATTTTTTCACTTTTCTTTTAAAAGTACATTCACAGACAAGACACAAAATATCAACACTAACAAGCCAAAAATCCAAGTGACAATATAAAGAATGACAAACATTATTCTAACTGAAAATAATTTTAGATCATAAAGTAAAACATGTATTTACAAAAAAAAACCCCACTATGAACTGCCCCTTGAAGTGATTATTCAGTCACTTCAACAAACTGAAGTAAAAATTAAGCGTTTCTTGTAATTAATACCTATTATTATTATTTTTAAGTTATCTTCCCATTTTAGAACCAGAAATTGCACAGAAGACTTTGTTTTGATAATTATCGAATGGTTTGGGTTGAAAGAGAGTCTAAAGCCCTCTGCCATGGGCTGGCGGCCACCCACCAGACCAGGCTGCGGAGCACCCCACTCAACCTGGCCCTGAGCCCCTCGAGGCACAAAGCATCTCTGGCCACCTCTGCCAGTGCCTGACCACCCTCCTTTCAAAGAAATGAGACGCTATTTTGATTTCGTTTCCAGTAATTTTCAATTGTGATACTATCTGCAAAAAATAGAGTAACCTCCTCAAAAATTATTGTTCTAACTCATCACTATCTGATAATCAAACAGAAAATCATAAACTTTTAAGATCTAAATACAGTTTTAAAATCTAAACAATAATAATTAAACATATATATATATATATATATACATATATGTATATACAGTGTACTCAAGTCTAATGAATGGAAGAAGTAAACACCGTGAAAACATTTCTCCAAACCTGCAATGAAGATCTGCCCCACCAAGATCCTCTGCTGATACCTCTTCACCTGTTGCTGCTTTAACCTACAACAAGAAAAGGGAAATAACACTTGTCTCGTATTCATATTTATACAGGCCTAGTCACAGCAATATAATCATACTCTGCAAAATGCTTCTTCATTAATATTTCTTCAGCTACTGTCCTTCACAGCATTTTGAATATGACAATACAGAATTATGTCAAAATTACTTAATTTTACTGATTTGGTACCTGCATGACTTACATATAGTTTTTACCGAGAAAGACTCTCCATTTACTCTGCTCTTTCCTGCTCTGTCTACTTTTAGTGTGGACATATCTACACATTAATGCACAATAACTTCACAAAATGTTTTTTTTAGCAGCTAACAAGGAAGTACTTTAAAATGTGATGCTTTCTTGCATTGTTTAAAAAAAAAAAAAAGCCTCTGTTTACTTTGCTTTCTCTGATCAAACCTTTATTCAGTGCATTTTAGTTACTTATTTTAACACTAATCATAAATCAATTACTATCAGCTTTTATGATTTAGATCTTCCATTATAAACACAGTAAATTAATAAGAATCATTTTCTAAGAAGAATGCAATAATGGCATGAAACTGTTCGGATCAATTATGATATCTCTGTAAAAATAACTGGAATGCATGAACTAAGTCAAGTCACACATATGACAAAATAAGTTAATAGCAAATGCATTCCTCCTTAAAATAAAGCAGTATCATTTACTGCTGGTAAAAAAAAAAAAAAAAAAAAAAGAAGAAGGAAAAAAAAACACAAAAAAACCCTCTTGACGCATTTCCACTGAAATAACTTTCCCTCAAGCTCTGCTGTACTCCTTTTGAAACTAATTCCTCACAAACTACCGAAGCCATTATTCGTCACCCACACAGTGTATGAAGGCAGTAAAAGACAGATAAAACTATCATTACTTCTAAACCAGGTATCAGCTTACAAGATTTATAACCACATACAGATGGTTTTCAGTATCTCCAGGGATTAAGATTTTAAAATCTCTCCATGTAACTTGGTCTGGTGCACGATCACCCAACCCTCACAGTAAAGTGCTTTATTGTATCTAAAATGAACCTTCTTTATTTCTTGTATTTGTGTCCACAGCCTCTTCACATGCCATTTCTCAAAAGAGATGTCTGGTTCCACCATCCTTTCCTCCTCCCACGAGGTACTCACACACACAGAGAGACTTTCTTGAGTTTTTGTATGACTAGCTAGTCTTAGCTTTCACCCCTCCCTCATGCCATGAACTGGTCCCTTCACTGAATTCACTTCAGTAAGACCGTGACTTAATTGCACTAGGGAGCCCAGAGCTAGAGCCAGTACCCAAAGTGTGTTTTATGAGTGCTAAGTAGAGAGGAAGAACTACCACTCCTGACTTGCTGAAAACACTTTGCCCAAAGCAGTCCAAGATATTGCCAGTTGCTTTGCAGCAAGGGAACAATGCTGGCTCAAGTTTAACTTGGTTCTCCACTGTAACACACAGTGTTTTCTGACATACTTTCCCAAGTGGTTAATCCCCAGACTTTTCTGGTGCACGGCATTTTTCCTTCCAAGAAAACATTTCCCTGGTATTGAACTTCAAGAGGCTGTTGTCAGCCCTTTTTCCAGCTTGACAGGGTCCCACTGAACAGTACATCCATCTGCACTATCCATTGCTCTTCCCAGTTTTGTAGTATTTGCAGACTTGCTGGATCCATAGAATCACCAAGGTTGGAGAAGACCTCCAAAATCATCCAGCCCAATCATCCACCTATCACCAATATTTCCCACTAATCCATGTCCCTCTGTTCAACTTCTAAGCATTTTTTTTTTTAACATTCCACCTCATTCAGTCTGCACTTCATCAGTTTGTTGAGGTCATTCCAGGAGACAGCATCAAAAGCCTCGTGAAAGTCAAGACAAACAACATTCACTGCTCTCTCCTTATCCACTCAGCCAGTTATCTCAGTAAAGAAAACTATCTGGTTGATCAGGCTCAATTTCCCTCCAATGTGTCTACTCCCAGTCACTTTCTTGTGCCTAATAATTTTGTTCCTCCTTCTGAAATACTGTGGTGAGGCCATTTAGCAAGTAGTTACCTGAATTTCTTCTCTTGCTCTTTCATGACCAAAAATGACCATGGAATAACATGCACCTGGCTGCTCAGTACACATGGAAGCATCTCATCAGACCCCACAGACCTTTCTATGTCTGAGTTATTCACGTGTTTCCTAGCTTGTTCATCCTACATGAAGAAGTCTCCTCTGTTTCAGTCTTTCCCTCTGACCTCAGGGACCGGGGATTCCTGAACACAGATCCAGCTGAAGACTGAGGTGAAGACAGCATTGAGTATCCCAGCCTCTTCTGTGTCCCTTGTCACAAGTTTCATTATGCAATTCAGCAACAGGCTTGCACCTTATCTTGCCTTTCTTTCAGTGTTGCTGTACCTACAGAACTCAACCTTCCTGCCCTTTGTGCCTCCTGCCAGATTGCACCCCCCATGGGTCACGTATCCAAATCTTTCAAAACACTTTACCAATACAAATAAAACAAATTTACAATATAACTAAGACTTCCTTCCTCTGGAATACAAAAAAATATTAAGAGAAAGAAAATGAGCAAAATTCTGACAAAATTTTAGAATGGGATATCAGAGATCAGATGGAATGGAGTTTCCAAGTTCTTTGTCAGAATGTATCTTCAGACAACATGGTCTACATGGGTTTTCCATTCACCGAGAATTCTACAAACAGCAATTTTAATAAACTTTTATAAAGTTAGTACTATTTAATTCCAACACTGCAGATACAGCCTCCACTTCTTTTCAGATTTTCAAAAAAAAAACCTATTTGAAATCAACAGCAGAAATGCACACAAACTTTATTAAAAAATCACATTTTTGGAAACAAATAATGCTGCTGTATACAGAGGCCCTAGCACAAAAATATACAGGAATTTTGCACTTTTCCCTTTTCTCCAGACTACCCTTCACCACTGGGAAGGGAAAAAAGAAAGCAGCAAATTTTTGATGGGATGACAATGCCTATTAGTCAGTGCAGCACCTAAGCTACAAAGCAAAGATACTGATTCTGCAACTTGGGGGGAGTGCAGAATGGCTGTGTGACATTGCTCCTACTCACTATCAATACCTACTGCTCACGAAGTCTTTACTACTAATACTCCCAAAAAGAACACTGAGAAAACTTCAGACTTTGGACTGTACTTGCAATTTTCAATTCTTTTTTTAAAAAGCATACACATTCCAAGACTGATTACAACTAGATTCTTCTTTTGTTTCCCTAGGATGTTTTCTTTTAGGGAAGAGAGCAGGAAAGTCAAATCCAATTTTTTTCATATAGGAATGACATTTTGGGGAACAGAGCATACGCAGTAAAGGCTACAATATCTGCAATAACATGAAGCAGATGTTTCTATGGGACTCTGAAGTAATTTTGATGCTTACAATAAGGCAAGTAAAATATTTTCAGTGAGAATATGAAAACCTCTCCCCAACAGGAAAGCTGACAGCTGGTGATATTGAAGTTTGATCTATACGCACAAAGATAAAGATTGTTGCATCTGCAGATTGCTAAAGAACAAATTAAATGGCAGGACAGTTGTGAAATCTTCCTCTAAAAGTAGTGAAAAGTTTTCTTCCTTTCTGACTACACAGTATTCTTACAGATACTGACTTGCCTTGCCAAGTCTTCCCTTTGAGGCCTGACTTAGGCTGGCATTTCAGCTGCCTAACCTGACAGTCATTCTGAAAGTAATGCCTATTTATTTCCATGGAAACCACAACAGATACATAGAGCACAGGAACAATACCTGATTGAGCAAATTCTCAGCTACAAAATTCTATTTTTCAACATTGTCACTATCATTAGCTTCGTCACTAGCATTAGATTCGTACAGATGAGCTGATCAAGACACTCTTCATTCTGTGGCATGATGGCTGTGCCACCCAGAACATGGCTTGTCTTTTACATCACTGTCACCACTGCTAGCACAGTGTACTCTTTTTGAAAAGAATTCTTCACAAGCTAGTGAAGCCATTATTCGTCACCCACAGTGTACGAAAGCAGTAAAAGACAGATAAAACTATCATTACTCCTAAACCAGGTATCAGTTTACAAGATTTATGACCACATACAGGTGGGTGCCCCCCCCCTTCCTTCCTTACCCCCACCATGCTCACATCCACTTTGATCTCCATAAGCATTTGCCAAGTGTTGATGAATATCAATGGGTGCCATCTTTTCCACATGGAAGAATTCAATTCCACACTTTTGCTTTATCTACACTTCCATTTTAGATGCCATTCTGTCAGACTGCCACTCTGTTGCCATTTGTCAATGGCAACAACATGGAACAGAATACTGGCAGGAAGGTTTGACCTCTACTGACATATCACCAGTATCTGCCTCTGATGTTATGAGTGAAGAGAGTATAAGGGCTGCTCCAAAAGCAATGCCTCCTATTTTATTACGAGAGCGATGCTATAAAAGTAAACACTACATGACTTCACAACATAAGTTCTTCAAGTTATTAAGGAAATTAACACAATCTTGTCTTAGGAAATGATAAAAAAAAAGATCATGGAAGTGGCTGTTTTTCTATAGTTTACAGGACCTGCTACATTTTTTCCCAGTATCTTAAGTGGTGGGAAGAAGTGAATTCCAGCAGACTCCCACCACTCAGTTACTACAGAATTGAGTGGAGCTGACAGCAGATAGGCTTTAATGAAGTGATTTATGCCTGCTCAAGTTGGAAGAACTTTTGAGAGACATGTGATTTGCATCTGGCTTTGTCAAAAGAAATACCACAAAGTTTCTAAGTCACTCTAAGTCACTCTAAACAAAACAGAGCTAATGTGCTGCTTAGGACCAAATTGTTCAATGAGACAATATTCTTGACTATTTTAAATAAGCAAGTTTATCCAGTCAGGTTACATCTAGACTAGAAATACTGTGCTGGATGCTGTCTTATCTGTTTGCTGTAGCACTATCGTAACACTACATAAAATTCCTTTTTTCCCTTGTAAAGTTATGTTGACTAAAGCAGTACTTGTCAGAAACAAATAATTTATATCATTATAAAACATGTAAGTCCGTGCTAGAACATACATTAGTACAGTCCTTTAAAACAAACAAACAAAAACTACTAAAATGCTCCCATTTCTGCCAGAGCCAAGCTACTATAATTTTCAAGATGCCTTATGCTGTGGTATTTCACAGACACAAATTCCATTATGCGTTCTATAGCAAAAGCAACTTTTAATTCACAGGAGTTCCTCCGTCAGTAATGATGACAAACTCCATCACTAGTGCAAGCCTTTGTCTCAAAACTGACATCAAATATTGCACATTAGTCCACCTTCTGAAGTTCTCTGACCCAGAGTGTTCAATATAATATGCATGTTTTCATTTTTTATTTCAAGTCAAATTTAGAACCTACACAATTGAATATGGAAGATATTTTTTTACCATTTACAGTGTACAGAGCAACCTAAAGGAGTATTATAAAATCACCTTAACAAAGTCTTATTTATACACACACATATTGCTGTAACTAACATAAAAGTTTTCACTTCCAGTGTAAGCATTCAGATATATTTTAAAAATGCAAAATATCCTACAGAAGATCTGGAAACATCTCACAAAAACAGGGCTGAACAGTTTAAGTTGTATTTAGAAGTCAGCAATGTACTGAGCTGTGTTACCAAAAACCTCCCTATGCTTACCAGGGGTGGCCCTCCCAAGAATATCGTTCCCTGTTTGCCAACAATAATGCTTTCATCAGCCATTGCAGGTACATACGCGCCTCCTGCTGTACAGGATCCCATCACTACTGCTACCTAGTAGGAAAACAAAAAACATGAATTAATAGTTGTTCAACCCTTAAGCCAGAAAATGTGTGCACATAACTACTATTATAGATACTATTGATTTTAACATATGTTGTTGGACAATACTGTAAGACTACTTTTCCTTGACACAACAAACACAATATTTCAGCTTTTATTCAAAAGCAAAAAACAACAGGGCATCTCTAGTTTTCAACAGTCTTTGACACGCTATCTTTAGACCTCCCACGTGAAAATTCATATAGAAAGTACTGTAACTTACATATATGAAGTATTTGAAGAGGCTTACATTCTACCAAGGAATTTGTCTTGGCCACTGAACTGTAACAGGGAGAAATTTGGAAACTGCTCCTGGTATTCACAGTTAACTCAAGGAAGCAGTTGCTTATCGGTATAATTCCAACATTGTTAGCAGCCTTTGAAAAGACTCCTCACATCTACTAGTACGTGACTTCCGCTCTTCAGTGCATCAGTGCCGACAAACCTATGCCACAGTAGCTCTGCTCCTTCAGGGTGTGTTGTTTAACTCATTATTTGCTTTAGCATAAATAACATCTGCTTCACTCTTATGTGTAATTTTAAGATCAACCAGTCACCTTCCACTAGAACTATTCTGGTGACACTAAAAAAAAACACATTGACTTGATCTCATACATAATAAACACTGCAGCAGCAAACAGTCTTGAAAGAGAAGCTACTCTAAACTTTCTGCTCATGATGAAAAACATAGGTGCATTTAAATTTAATTCAGGTCTTATTTTCTCTAATGCATGTATTGGTTTATCCATGTACTGCAAAATTAAAGTCAACCTGTTAAAAAGCACAGCCTCAAATTTTCTAACCAATGCTATGTTCTGACTTAATTCTCAGAATTAATGCACTGAAAATTACCTAAAAAAGCAATAAAAATCATCAGTTCAGCTTTCTTGTTGTATCCATGCCACATGAGTATGAGAGAGCATAAGAAGCAGCTAATGTGAAGCTAATCACTGCATTCTGATTCACAGCTATACAGACATCAGAGCAATTTAAAGCTGCAGTAGGAGTATAACAAATTAGTCACAGGTAAAAGTGGAGGGAGAAATTAAAAGCAGCACAGGCAACTGGGAAAAAAATAAGCAAAAAAAAAGCAATTACTGTATGGTCAAAATTGAGACAGGCTGATGAGTGAGTTGATGAAACAGCTAGAGTAACAGCTGAGAAAAACAGTTTCCAAACCCCTATGCTTGAAGAATTGATGTCAGTGGAAATCACAAGCAGTGCTATTTCCTAATTAATAGTACTTCCTAATGATGCATGCTCTTAGGCAGGGAAGATGATTCTAGCTACCACAATCTGTTAGCACAGAATCAATAACAGATTTACAAAGGATAACAGTGCTCTTCTGAAATGAAACAAATGAAAGAAACAATGCTGAAACATTCATTATGTATTTTAAATGAAGGAATAACTTCAAGAACAACTTTTCCATCCCCAGTCCTTTATAAACACTTTAAGAAAATAAAATTTTCATTAGTGTCATTTCAAGAAAATTACTTTTATCCACATCATACCAAACGGTAAGTGCATTATTAAAAGGCAAACCCTTCGAACACAACTTTGATTAAGGTCACTGTCACTCTACAGTGCTACTCTAACGAAGCACTACAAAGACACATTCAGGACTTTATAAATGTGTGAATGTTGTTTCAAGGCATATCTAAAAACAGCAGCATGACTTAAGGGACAAGACTTTCAAGCAAGGTCCTGCATAACCTCAGTATTTCCAGCTGTACTAATTGGGTTTACATATTCATCTTCAACATAAGATCTAAAAACCACTACTATGATACTAGATAATGACCGGAGTCCCTACCAAAAGAGAAAGTTTATTGAAAACCTTTAAAAAAATATCTGTCAGTACAACAGCCATGTGACTGTCTCCTTTAACAATAAAGTCCTTTGTTCCCTTCATTTCAGAAAATACACAGCAGAATCTGACAACAGATACAGAGAAAATAAACAAAGATGATGAGAAATGTGAAACATTCATATCAGGAACTGCTAAGTAAACTTGAATTCTTCAGCCTGCAAAAGGGATAAATGACAGAGCTGTGTAAGCATGTGAAGAGGCCAGGAGCTTACTGACTAGGCAGTAACTTCACAGAAAGAAACTGGTTTACTTTGCTGTACATCAGGATAGAAAGTTCCAGTGTTTGGAAGTGGTTATCTTCAAAGACTCCTCTGCCCTCCTAGTGGCCTTCCACAGGTACCAGCTGACAGCTCACTTGGCAAGCCAAAGCTGCTGAAGTCCTGGGTCTTCATCCGTCTACTTACCTTCTTCACTTACATCTGGATCTTACACTCTGCGCCCCATTTTCCCTGCAGCCAAGGCTGCTATCAGCACTTACATCCTCAGAAAGCTCTACACTTTTCATGAGTAACAGACCCATTAGAGCACCTCTCCTAGTTGGTCACCTGCATCAAAAAAATTGCCCTCGACACATTTCTGAAATATCCATGACACAAAACCATTTCTAAATCCAGGAACTGTGACTGAAAGTCACAATGATTCTATGCATCATTAATACATTAGAAAATGATTTCACTGTCAGAGCAGTTTATCATATAGTGATCCATATATAAAATGGCTATATAAATATACACATACCACTCTTAGCAAAAGGTACATCTCATTTACTAGCCATCATCAAAGGGGTCCTCACCCTTATAGCAATGATGCAGAATAACCAACTGTTTCAAGAGATTTTCTACTACTTCCTTACACAAACCTACTTACCATACTGTCAAGTTCTCTTTTCTCCCACTCCAAGATAGGAGCAGGTAGGTCATGCAATCAACATTAAGGCCAAGAAAGAAGACAGCCTTTTCAAAATGATGACTTTTTGTGGATAGTTAATGTGTTTACAGTGCCTCTAATCCCCAGACTAGGCCATCAGGTCAGCACAATTCTGCGCTGTCTAAAATAAAGCACTGGTATAAACCCTGAAATCAGACAAAAGCAGCAAGTATATGAACTAATTAATACACTTCAACCCCAAGTCAAAGCAAATTACCTGCGGAATTCCTTGAGAAGACATGATTGCTTGATTATAGAAAATACGACCAAAATGATCTCGATCTGGAAACACTTCTGCTTGCCGAGGTAAATTTGCTCCTCCAGAATCAACTACAGTAGATGAAAACACATTAACACATCTTTGAACACTGTTATATACAGAAGTTAGTAGTAAAACATCTGCATGTTATTTAAAATAGCCACCACATGCTAATGCTGCATGTATTGCCATGAATCTAGGTATGTTATGATACGCTTCTTGAAAATGTAATGCTAGCAACATCACATATGCAACTAAGCAACTAACATCCACTCTCCCCTGAACAAAAAAAACCCCTCAATTGTGCTAAGAGGTGCAATCCAAATTCCTTACTTAATTACTTAAATTTCTAAATTCATCTTAGTGCAAAACATTTAAACTAAGAACACTTTCAGCATGCATCTTAAAATATGTTTTTCTGTTGTGATTCTGTCAGAAGTTCTGAAAAAAACTACCACTAAGTGCCCTTGAAATACATAACACATGTAGTTTCACACACTGATTATCCAGACACACTGAAGACCTTTTACTGTCTTCAGAAGCTTCATTTATACACGTCCTTGCCTCATGATGTGCTTTACAAATTATAGGTTGCTGACTTCATTCCACTCCAGAAACATGAAAACACATCAAAAGACTCCAAAGAAGAAAAGACAAGAAAGAAATGCACACGAATGCCAAGCGTCTCTAACCACTTTGGCTTCCACCAAGTTCTCTTCCTGAGCAACAGTCTACATGCACATTCTCATGCAGCACAAGTGTAGCCAGTAATATCCTACATACAGCTTTACTGTGAAGCAAAGCTTTATTTATCCTGCTCTCGTAGAAGCACTCTCCCAAATTCAACATCAATTCTGGCAATGACACAAACTCCAACTTAGTCACTACTGCCAGCGTAGAAAATGCACAAACAAGCGACTGACTCTCAGTGACAAATGGCACCCAGTGTCATTACATGTTTAAAGTGCTGGCTGAATACAGAGCACTCCCTCTTGATCTCACTATTGAAATGAACTGACACAAACACAGGTACAAAAATTGAAGTCCCTTAAATCTGGTGAGTTCCTTGACAGGCAGAATGTATACAATGACTATATAACTCAAAGTTGGAATACAAAAACTGACTTTACAGAATCACAGAATGGACTGGGTTGGAAGGGACCTTTACAAGCATCTAGTTCCAACCTCCTGCAAGGAGTTGCTGTGGCCAATCAGCAGGACCTGGTAACTGGTCTTAGTGAAGCTTATACAATTGGTCTCAGCCCAGTTATCCAATCTATCCAGATGCTACTGCAGGACCTTCCTACCCTCAGGCAGGCAGACTCTTCTCAGGGTGGCATTATCTGTAAACTTGCTGACAGTGCACTCGATCCCACTGTCCATGTCACCTACAAAGATGTTAAATAGCACTGATCCTGATACCTGACCCTTGAGGAACGCCACTCATGACTGACCTCCACTTGGACACTGAGCTGTTGACTGCAAATCTTTGTGCAGCCATCCAGCCAATTCCTTAATTCACTGAGTGGTCCATTCCTCAAATCCCTTTTTCTCCAATTTGGTGACCAGGATGTTGTGTGGAACAGTGTCAAACACTCTGCACAAGTCCAGGGAGATGACGTCACCTGGCCTTCCTTTATCCACTGACACTGTAACTCCATCATAAAAGGCACCAAGTTTATCAGGCAGGACTTGCTCTTGGTAAAGCTGTGCTGGTTACCACCAATCCCCTCATCTGTATTTTCCATGTGCTTTATTTGGGCCTTCAGGAAGATCTGCTCCGTGATCTTCCAAGGCACAGAGGAGAGACTGACTTCCTGTGGTTCCTGGATCTTCTTTTTTTGTTCTACTTGAAAACGGAAGTTATGTTTCCCCTTTTTCAATCAGTGGAAACTTCACCAGACTGCCACGACCTTTCAAATATGATGCAAAGTGGCTCAACAGCTTAATCTGCCAGTTCCCTCAGAACTCCTGGATGGATCTCATCAGGTTCCATGGACTTGTGCACCTTGAGGTTCTTTACATAGTCTCAAACCTCATCTTCACTTACAGCAGGCAGATCTTCCTTATTCAAGTTCTTAACTTTGCTTTCTACAGCTTGGGTGGTATGGCTAGACCCCTCGCTGGTGAAAACTGAGGCAAAGAAATTAACGAGTACCTCAGCTTACCTTGTGACCAAGTCTCCAGTTTCCTTCCTGAGAGGGTCCACATCCTCCCTGGTCTTCTTTTATCACCAAAATACCTGTAGAATTTCTTCTTGCTCCCCTTAATGGCCCTGGCCGGATTTAATTCTAACCAGCTTTTAGCTTTCCCAACCTGATCCCTGGCTTCTCAGTTTCTTGGTAGTCCTCCCAGGCAATCTGCTTCTACTCTATCTGGACTTTCTTTTTGCACCTAAGTAAAGTCCAGGAGGTCCTTTTTGATTTATGGAGGCCTCCATGCATTCTTGCCTGCCTTTCTTTTTCTTAGGATGCACTGCTTCTGGGCTTAGAGGAGATGGTCCTCGAATGCTGACCAGCTTTCTTGAACCCCTCTTCCTTCCAGGGCACTATCCCATGTCACCCTGCCAGGCAGTTCCCTGACAAGGGAAAAGTCTGCTCTCCTAAATCCAGAGTAGCAAGCTTGCTATTCACCCTCTTTGACATCCTGAGGATCTTGAACTCCATGATTTCATCGTCCCTGCAGCTAAGGCTGCCCTTGAGCTTCATATTACTCACCAGCCCCTTCTTATTGGTGAGGACAAGGTCCAGTGTAGCACCTTTTCTGGTGGGTTCCTGTACCATTTGGAAGAGGAAGTTATCATCAACGCATTCCAGGAACCTTTTTGATCGCTCGTGCCCTGCTGAATTGGATATCTGTTTCCAAAATATTTTTCAAAAGCAAACCTATGTGCCATATTCCCTTATTCTGTTAGACCTTAAAACAGCAACGTGGCACAGTTTTGTTCACTGATATGTTCACTAAAAGGTAAGAGCTGTCTGGACACACAGAAGTTGCTAGTAATTCCATTCCACCAATACTTTCAGGTTCACATTTCTCCTAATTCTTCACACGCTGTTACTGGCCAGGACATACCTATCTTTATGCTGACTTTGTAGTGAAGTGTCCTCACTGGTAAACCAATCAATGCCTTTGAGCTGCTATGCCAAGCAGAACAGAGGACTGAACCATCTTGTTTTTCTAATAGGGGCAATACAAAGATAAATATTCTGTACTCTAATGCTGCCTTACAAAGACAAAATCAACTGGCCTACAGACTCTATGAAATCTCTCACAGTACAATTTGGCTGAAGTTAGTTAATGGATTCAAAAGTTACTAGACTGGGATTTGAGAATGAAAGGCAGTCAGCGCAGTACAAAATCCCTACAAACAGTATTTCTATAAAACCAGGCTAAGAAAGTACTATTCTCTAATATATTAGGAACACTCAGAACTCATAGAACACTATGGGATTGATAGCCCGTCAATGACTGAAGGAAAGAAAATGAATAAAAATGAAGTGATAGAAGTGGCATGATTACATCTGTATTTTGTGAAACCAGCTCTACAGGAGAGCAGAAATTTGTGTTGAGAAGCTAGCACAGCAAGACTTGCTGCTAATTTGTAGAAGTAAAACGGCATTATGAAAATGTATCTGGATAAATTTAACTGAAATACATACCTGGTAGTCAAATCTGGAGACTTATCAGTCTTGGTAATACATTTTAAAAGAGGCAGTGTTTTACCTAGAGGTTATGAGATGCCCTTGACAAGGATCACTTGCTGTTTCTGCAATGTGACTTACCCAAATATATGCAAGGCAGATGGTTTTGCATTGCAATTTCTTGAGCACGTAAGTGTTTTTTAACAGTGATGGGATAGTAGGTACCACCTTTGACAGTTGCATCATTGGCAACAATCAAACATTCCACCCTAAAAATAAAACAAGTTTATGGGAGATAAATGTATCTGTAGTAAATAAATACATTTGTTGCTTAAGAGCTGCAATGTGACCAGACACATGAAACCTCTGGGATGGTCAAGAGAGCAGCACTCCTCACCTGCATTCCCTTTCAATGCACACAGTAACAGCAGTCTCAGCACTACAACACTCTGCTTCAAGTTCCTTAATTCCCCAAAGAAATGCTGTCTAATGTCATATTTATTTTCAACAATTGTTTCAGTGGTACTTCTAGTGAGCAAAACTAATTCTCAGCCTAGAATGCAGTCCTATCTTTTACAAATTGCTTTACTGATTCACTAATCTCTTTATTTCACCAGACAACAGAAAGTCTACATGTGTCTAACTTCAACAGGCAAAACACTAACTGAAAAAAAAATCAATTCCTTTAGACAAAACTGAATGAATTAAGATGCTAACTTTGCTGATTTTTTGGATGTCTGAAATGAAATACTTAAAAAAGCTAATAGCTTAATACTGGAAACTAAAGAAAACAATACTTTCTTCCTTTTCTTAACACCAAGATCACCTGTATCTCTCACCCAGATATTCGTCCAATGCCTGTGATAATACCTCCCGCTGGAACCTCTTCATTACCATACAACTGGTAGCCTGCAAACTGGGAGAACTCCAAGAACGGAGACCTAATAATGACAAATACCACAGCAACATTTTAAACATCAATCAATCAAATAGTTAGTCGCCAGAGAATCTCACTTATAAGATTCAATTTTCTAAGATGTGATTTAAAAAAACCAACAGATGAGTATTTCAAAGAACACATCTGTAAAATTTCAAATGGTGACAGAAATTAATGAGAAAATAAGGCTCCTAGAATATTACCTGTGAAAGAGAATTCAATGTGTTTTTAAAAAGAGAAAGTACTTACCCTGGATCAATAAGTCTGTCAATTCTCTCTCTTGGTAACAACTTTCCTCTTGATGTGTGAAGCTTACGAGCTTTTTCTCCACCTCCTGTGATACAAGAGTCATGCATTAGGCTTACTGAGAACACAGACACATAAATCACCAGTTATATTAAAATTCAGAATGGAAGCACTAAAGAGTTTCCAGTTTTTTATGTATGGACTTTAATAATGCATTTAATAAAATAACATTTTTCACTTCAAACAGATTTAAGATATCAATACAAATGCTTGCCTTTCAGAACTTATTCTTCCTTCTCTTTTTTACAGCTAGTCTTGAGGCAAAGACACTAATAAACAGTTGTCTGAAGCCTTCCCTTGCTGTTTGGCCACAAACAAAATGAAAACACAAATTCACAAAGGAAAGGACAGCAGAAAGGTTCTCCAAATGAGTTCAAAACAGCTAGGCTGAAACCAATCTTCAAAGACCCAATCCAATAAGGATTCATCTCCTTAGATTACTTCAAAACTGTAAGCAACAGATTTCAGAAAGATGACATTTAATATCAAAGTTTACTTATCTTTACTTCATTTCAACCTTTTACTTGAGGCCAACCTAGATCATATCTTTTGCTCTCCGGAGCTTTGAATCATTCAATGCTTGAGACATCTCAGTTTCACATCAGTTGATACATCTCAGCCTCTTTATAGCAACAGCTTATCCAAACACTGTATTTAAGTAGACAGATCACTTATCCACCTTGTCAATCTAAAATTCTCTCCCCCCGAAGTAAAGAATTTGCTTTTTTGCTAACATTTCTCCTGAGACTTCTATATTTGTCAGCTAGCATTGCTGCAACAGAGCTGTTAAGCCTACCAGTCAGACCTTCCCTGTTACCTCCTTCCTTAACCACTATGATGTTGTGGCTTAACCTGGCAGACAGCTAAGCACCAAGAAGCTTAGCTTCTTGGGTAAGAAGAGTAAGTTTGCTCACTCCCCAGATCCCAGTGGGACAGGGAGAGAATTGGGGAAAAGAAAAGTAGAACTTGTGGGTTAAGATAAAACTGTTTACTAAGATAGAAAAAAAGGAAAAGGATAATAGCTATGACTATATTTATTTATCAATGTATGTAACAAGTAGTGCTCAAGCAATTGCTTGCCACCTTCCGACTGATGCCCAGCTTACCTCCCAAGCAGTGGAAGAGGGGAAAAAAAAAAAAAAAATCAACTCCCATCCCCTTCAAAATTCCTTCTGCACTATGTCACATGGCATGGAATATCCCTCTGTCTAGTTAAAGTCAGCTGAGCCACTTCTGTTCCCTCCCAGCTCCTTGGGCCCTTGGCTATGAACAGCCTTTGCTCTATACAGCACTGCTCAGCAATAGCTATAGACATCATTGTGTTATCAACATTGTTTTTCTCTTAAAACTAAAACATAACATCACATCAGATACTCCAACCAAAACAATTTCCATCCCAGCTGAAACTAAGACATAATTTCCCATGTAGTAGGCAGGCCAGAAAGTCCACAGCTTATTTCTGATTCAGTATGCTCATCAGGTCTGCATTTCCAGTCTAAACCTAAATCTTGCATATGCTTTATACACAAGTCTCTTTCTGCACAAGTTTCTTAAACATTTGATATCTACCCAAAAAGCTAATATTCCCACTCAAATTCTCAACATCCCACATCACGACTACCTGACCTTAGCAGATACCATCTTACCTTTCCCATTTACACTTGCAGTGCTGCTGCAAGAGCTATTTTCCATCCTACGATTTTTGTCATCTCTGCCCATCCTCACTCTCCTCACACTAATCATAAATGCTTGCCCTGCAGGCCTTAGAGCCCTTCTATTAGTTTCCCTTCCAGAACTGAGAAGTTCAATCAACACTACAGTAACTGCCATCCTAGAGCAGCCTCCCTAACGATGATGATACAAACTAGGGAGGAGTTGTAATTTAACTTGACAGCTCCTCCTCAACAGCTCCTCTACAGCGATGTCTACTAGATTTCATTGTGACTGCAGACAGGCTGTGACTGCTGCTCTTCACAGAGACAAGGAGTACCTCAGTTGCTTCTCCTCTTGACAACAGAAATCTACTTGTCGTTACTTATTACAGCCTATAAATTCTTTGGGGCAGGGATCCTCTTCCTGTTACTTGGGATTACAAGATAGATTGTATGGGTTTACAAAAGTCCTACTCAACAGAGCAACAAGGAATGAAATATATATTAAAAAGACCTCTGTCAGGAGCTCCTTCTCCCAAAGACAGCTCTTAGAAGGAAAAAGCGTTTGCAGCTACCCTCAATTCTCCTCATACACCTGTAAGACAGGTCAAGCAATCATTCACAGGGTACATATTTTAACATCCTGGCAGAGCAACCCTGAGGCTTTAGTCTTCTATCATATGATAAGCAAGAACAGGAAAGGTGTATCAGTGAAAAAGGTCATGATCATTAACTCATAAGCCACACGAAGAACTACACTCATACAAGACAGGGAATCTACGGGATTCAACATATCTTGATGAAATCCTAGAGTTTTCATACACAGCAAGTAAGAAAAAACAGAAAGCTCACAATCTTAAATGTGCTCCTCTAAAACTGCAAGAGATCACATTATGTAAGAAACAGCATACGGTATACAACCACAATGAAACAGCATACAGTATACTACCACTATCAGGGGAGAGTTAAAGCTGAATGCTTTAAACATCTATAAACTTTTTTCTTATCTTCAGTCAACTGGGATTAATTCAGGTAGTCTAAGCAGTTAAGACACTGAAATAGAGATATTTCAGCCTTCTAAACTGGTACAAATTTGCTTCTGTTTGCCAGCAAAAGGACACCAGGGGTCTTCATAAATCCCTTTACAAGTAAAGAGACAAACAGGCAACTTGAACAAGAGCACACTTGTCACACCATCCTGTTGTAAAAGCAGGTGGAAGGATGAAGCAACGAAGCAGTTAAGAGGAAAGTGCAGGAGTAAAAGCCTTTTGTTAATAGTCTTATCTATTTTTAACATACTGCCATTAAATTTATTAAAGAAACATACTTTCCACTGATATTATAAAAAATTAAACAACTCTAAATACCTACTTCTCATTATTTACTTTGCTTACTTTGTGCCTCACTAGGAATGAAATTAATCTTTTGATTATATCAGCCCTGCTTTAATTTATTTCATTTTCCCAGTAATTTATTTGCAGCATTAGAAAAGACCTAATCCATTTGACAAACAAATGCATTAGCTAAATACTGTGATAAACTAGTACCAATATTACAAACTTTTTTCTTATTTAAACTCAGTTACTTTAAAAGAAAAAAAAAAAAAGTCAGCTAAATTTTCAATCAAACTAACGTGGATATAAACTCTAAGGTTTTCAGCTGACGAAAGCAGATTTAAGCAGATGACACAAATTTCTGTACGACTGCTACAATCCATCTAGCATATTGTGTCTGAATGATCAGTAAACATACAACTAAGGGACAAATAATTACAAAAAAAGGAAAAGCACTCTATTTGAGGAATAGTTTTAACAAACCTTCTAAAATCTGGACTAGCACACTTACCTAATTTGATTTTTTCTGCTTCTTCTTGGAGTTTAGTTACCAAGGCTTTCATTCGTTCATAGTTTTCCTAAATGGGGAAACAAATGTTTCAATTTTAACTATAGGTGACAGAATGATGCTTTAATAAAGAAACACAGAAAACAGTATGCAATATTAATTTCTTTTCAAATTTTCTACTTACCTTATTTCTTTAAAGACAATACAGAGCAAGTATGTAATAACATTTCTACCTGTACGTAGGCTTCCTCATGCCATCCCAAAGCAAGCTTCACAAAAAACTCTGATTATGTTTGAACTGTAAAAGCCCACTCTAAGCTTAATGAATCAATACCAAAATTATTCATTACAAAGTTCAAACTTTGTTTTTCAGGTTTTGTTAACTTACTGGTGTGTGTTTGTTTGCCTTTCACAAATACTAACTTTGTAAAATAAATCATGGGTATTCAAATGAAGTGCTCCTGTGCCTCTTGTGACAGAAGATGAATGACCTAGAGTGAATTAACTTGGTAAAAATGCCTGTATTCTCTATTTAAATAGAACACAAATATAAACAAAAGCTTTCCAAAAGCAGGAAAGTGTCAATACTCTTGCTAATACTCTTCTTAGAATAACAAAGGCTCTTGTATCCTTGGGTATGGGTTATCCGTAGTCAGCTCACCACCAGTGTCCTTACAGTCGTTTTTATCATTTCTTTGGGATTAAAAGGTATTAGTCAACCTTAATGAGGCTTTTCAGATATGTTAAGAACTATATAACTTCTCTGAAAAGTATAACTGCAACATAGCAAAAAGATGTATTAACTGCAGCACGAGAAAGATCAGTCTTGTCTATTGCTCATTTAGAGGATACTAAAGCCTAATTTGACAGAAAAAAAATAATTATCTGGAGACTTTATATTCAGAGGTGAACAAAGAATTAGGATTACTCTAGTAAGTAGCAAGTGCTGTAGTTTGGTTTCTTCAGCTCTGAATCACTGAAAGGCACCACAATGTGAAGGGCAAACAAAATGAAAACACACACACAGGCCAATGCACTGAAAGTGGTTCAGTTGTCAGAAGGACTTTGTAAAGGAAGTACTTCTTGCCCCTTAGCCCTAGCAATTCCACCGGCTGGCACACGTGGCTAATTGGTGAGATCAACACTCAGACATCCTCCACCAGAAGGGGACACTGCAGCAACAGGTCAATGTGTGCCACCCTGGGCTCCGATTGGAGCGCATGCAGCACAGTGCACAGACTGGACCTTCATCTATCTATTACTGTGCAGCTGCCCTTTTCTTCCTCAGCTGTGAAATGACACCAGAATGGCCTACTGGAAATTCAGTGACCGCTCACAGCACCCAGGGAAATAAGAACAAATCAGCCACGTTTGTTCGTCTGACTGCAGTCATGCACCACTGAAGAAAACAAACCCTGATCTCAGTCACTCAAAAGACCAACTTTAAATCCATACTTGTAAAACTCTACCACAGCACTCCATGTTACTGCGTGTCTGAATGTCTGGCCCACTTTCCAGCACTGCACAGAGATGTCCTTGTTTCCCCTTATTCAGTCAACCTGTTTCCTCTAAGCGCACTCAGCTTCTTCACATACTACTGGGATTAAATATTCAGCTTGAAATAGGAAAAAATCCAGCTAAAAATGGCAGAGGGAATTAAAAGGGACACAGCAATCACACTCTTGCTTATCTGATTCTGGATTAACAACTTCTGTAGCTATTTTATCTACTTTCCTGCAGGAAAACTCATGAAAGGATTTCTTACGCCAGCAGTAAAAATATCTTGCTCCAATATTTGAATTAATTTCTGACCTTATCTTTCATGTCTTCAACCGTAACAAGGCACTTCTGCATATTACAAAGGAAAAGCAAAGATGCATATAGGTTCTGAACACATGCAGAAATGGCTCCACACAGGATCAAACTAGTTCTGCCATATCTTTGTAGCCTCTTAATGCAAAAAATGCAAGTGAATGAACACACCTTCCTCCTGTAAACCTGCCTTGGCACCAGCAGTATCTATAAAATTCTGCTCTTAACGTGAGGGCTCCTAGGAACTCAAAGCAGCATCAAGAAGTGAAAGTTACACACTGATCCTAAGATCCTAATAAGCTAAGTGAATTACTGCTACCTAAGCAAAGCAGCCATAACAGCTAATCCTGAGAGTCTTCATACAGATTCTCCTCCATTTTCCAGAATTCAGACTCATTGCTAAACTACGTTTTCACATGTCTAGCTTTACAGACAGTGTACATTATGAAGGCCTGTCTGGCTAAACTGACAGCCAGAAAGGCAAACACCTCACAGAAGGTGAGACCTTCATCACACACTACTATGCTTTCTTCTGTTTGCACTGTTTTTCTCTGCACACCATTATTTTTTTCATATTCTTTAACACCTCACAGCATTTTGTGTCTGTAAAGCACTATGTGCATCTACACTGCTGTTCATATTACAGTTGTATCTACCAAGTACTAACACTACCAGCTCTATTACTGCTTGAATGACGTAGCACACACTCCTCCAAGGTGAGCTTGTCCAGCAGAGCCACTTTTCCTTCTTGCAGTCTGATTGAAAACTGCTGCCAAAATACATAAAAGCTAGAAATGGAAGTAAAAACAAAGTGTTCTACAAACAGTTACCCAGCCTTAGCTTTCGAGACTTAAAGGTGCACACACAAATACAAATCCGCTGACAGCTTAACTGAGCGAACACATTTATTAAACTGCTGCTTTTCTGCTTGCATTTGCATCTGCAAACAAACATGTGCACGAATTATGTGTTATTATGCACGTTTATATACATGTACATAATGAATACATTCATACAATGAAGCCTGGCATGTATAAATACACATGCTGGTGCCCCACAGAAGTTTCTGTAGCTTGGTTTCTGCAAAACCACATTCAGAACAGCACGAAGTGTTCTACGTTTCTTCCTACCCTCTCCGACCCACTCCTAAAACCGCCCTATTCTCCACCCAGCCGCAAACACAACTTTCACCTTCCGGGCGAAGATGCCGATATAGCACCATTAATGCGAGGCGATTTACAACGCTGACACCGCCGTAAGAAAGATTTAACTCCACCCGCATCTTCTCCCCCAGGATAACGCCTTCTGCCGGCAGCCCGGGCACTCCGTGCCATCCCCTTCCCTTCTCCTCAAGGAAGGGAGCTGCCAACAAACAGCTCTGGGAAGCGCCGGGCTTCGTAACGACGGAGGGCTCACTCGGGGACCCCGAGCAGCAGCGCTTGGGCGCTAAGGCCCGCCCCGAGCCCCCGCGGTACCAGCCTACCTGGTAGAGCGGGGAGCCCGCGTCGGGCCGCGAGCCCACCGCCGCCGCCGCCGCCTCGCCATAGCGGGCGCGGGTCGGGCGGGCGGCACCGGCGCGGGAGAGGAGGCGGCAGCGGCCCAGCAGCATGGCGGCCCCGCACTGCCAGCCGCGCCGCCCGCCGCCGCCACTCCCACCGCTGCAGCCAATGGGTTGAGGGGCCGCCCGCCTCAGCGGCGCCACGAGGAAAGCGTAACGTCGCAGTTAGAACGCGTGGTAGGTAAGCACGCGAGCGAGCACGGGAGTAATATAAAATAATTTATTTACATCATTTACACGACAACTTTCTTTGAGACAGAGGCGATTGAATCGTAGGCGATTATACAGGCAGAAGTCCCGCTGAGATCCCATCGCACAGCTCTTTCATTGCCATACCCTCCGCTCTTACAGAACACAAGGCAACCTTCTCTCGCCTCTGTTCTTTGAAACGAAGTGCAAATGGTTTACTGGAGGGAACAGAAAGCGTGGCCTCAATTAACAAGATAGGTAAGGCACCTTAAATCTCAGTAAAGAACAGTAATACAAATGCAAACTGTACGCAATGAAATGCACAATGGTTATCACCTCAGAAAATACTATTCACGGCAATTATTTCATAGCCAAATCCCCAGAAATGTATTCTTAGGCTATGTCAGTGCAAAAGGAATTGAAACATGCCACGCGTGTTAAGAACTAAGCATCAGATTAAACGAAATATCTACCAGGTCACCTATTTGCTAATGTCTACATCAAACATTTCAAGTTAAATGCGTTAGGCAGAACAAAAGAGCCAAGATTTTCAAGCAGAAACTGATGGTGGTGGATTATCTTTGTGTGGGTTGGGTTTTTGTTTGTTTTGTCTTTCTTCTGACAGTTTGCTTTTGAGAAAGACAAGCTGGGACCACCAGCCTTTTCCCCATCTCTACAAGATGCTGCTGCAAGGCCCCAGAGTGGCTGGGGCTGGAAGGGACCTCAAGAATCATGAAGCTCCCACTCCCCCACCACAGGCAGGTCCACTAACCTCCCTATTTAATACCAGACCAGACTGCCCAGGGCCCCATCCAATCTGGCCTTGAACACCTCCAGGGATTGGGCATCTACAACCTCTCTGGGCAATGCGCTTGACAGAAGTCTCCTAATACAGCAACTTGCAATAGCAGTAATTTTTCTGTGTATTTTTCACTATTGACAAAGTTTTAAAATGTTCATTCATAAGCACTGCTAAACATTCTCAAACTTCAAAGTATTTGAAAATTCAGTAAATGATTACATGAGAATATCTGCAAGTAAATTACTACCCAGCCCCAAGGTGAAGATGGATTTCTGCAGAGCATAATACAATTCAAATTTCTCTTCTTTAACAGTTTCTTTTGCAAAAATATTTGCTGTTAATAATTACCAGGAGAAATAGCTGGACTACTTACATCTACATGCTCTTTTTTATGTAATAACGTTTAAGAATTACTTGACCTCTCAGTGGCTACCTGTAAGAACTCAAAACAACTTTTGTAATTCAACAAGACAATTTTTCTAAGCAAGAAAAAAAAATAAGCTAAAATCGCAAGCTGCACCAAAATTTTATGGTGAGTTTCAGTACAAGCAGACGTGGAACATGAGGAAAACGTTCAAATATAACTGCTTCCAAGTAGAAATCCTGAAAGCAACCTCAACAGCTGTGTAAATTCAGTTGTTGGTACTCCTTTGAATAAGTGCAACAAAGGACATCACTACAGACATACACCTACATGAAGAAACAAGAAGAAACTGCATCTAATCCCTTTGTTTTCAAATTCAGAAGATGTCCTGGTTCCAGCTGAGACAATGTTGATAGCACAGCTGCGGTTCTTGCTGAGAGATGTGTGCAATCCCAGGGCTCAGTGGGGAAGAGACACCACACAGGACAAAGCCAGGACAGCTGGCATGAATGAAGCCAGGGGTTTACTCCATACCACATGACATCATGCAGAAGGCTGTAAAGATGTGGGAGGGGCCACTGATTGCAGTTGGCAGGGCATCAGTCTGCACGTAGTGAGACCTTGAGTTGTTAGCAGGGCATCAGTCAGCAGGCAGCCGTATTGTTAGTTGGGTGTTGGCTAGTGAGTGATAAGTAGTTGCATTGTGGAGATATTTATCTGTTAGTGCATGTTTGTCTTCATTTTCCTTTTCTACCTTAGTAAAGAGTTTTTATTTCATCCCATGACTTCTATTCTCCCTCATCCCACTTTGTGTGGTGCTTAGCTGCTTGCTGGGTTAAATCACAACAGAAGGAAACTGGCATTTATACTGAGAAACATTAAACTCTTCCTCTCATTCAAATGGGTCAGTTCCAAAGATTATCACTGTGTAAATGTTTTTCAGGTTTTTCCTCTATGCATTTTCAAGGAGCTAAAGTCATTTGGTTTTTCTGGCTAGGGTCTTTTAACTTATGTAAGACATCTTAAATACAAAAATACCTAATTTGGAGATGCTAATAAAAATACCTGCAGTGCTGAACAGAACTATGCATTTATGATGGTACTTTCCATATTTGCATCCTGATCTACAGAGATTACACTGTAAATAAAAATGGTTTTCCCTTCTAACATACTAATACAGCATACTTCACAGAAAGAAGTAAAGAACTCGTATAATCAGTATCACAGTCTTTAGCATTAAATTCAAAGGAATACCTTGTCACAAGAATAAGCGTTTTTTGCATTGCACTTTTCTGGAAGACAATCATGCACCCATTACCGAAATCCAAACAAGTGAAAATTAATCCCGCAGCCACTGTTCTGGTCCAGTGACACCAACACAGTCGTTTAGCTTATGTCAACCTTTAGAAAGCATCCATTTAGAAGAAAATGATCCCATCCTTATGGAAGTTACTAACATTAATTAATGCTAAACTTGGCATAATTAATATTAAAACAAGTAATATTTTCCTAAAAAATAATAACTTTTTATTTAGTTGTACTAAGATCCCACCATTTTTCGAAAGCCAATTTGCTATTCAGGGTCATCTACTTCCATAAAGATGTCACTGAAAAAATACTCTGAGATTTTGGTTGGCTCCTCTTCCTTCTCTTGATCTTCAGCACACTGGGGAGGCTTCTTGGATGGTTCATTATGTGGAGCCTAATAGAAAAAGAAAAGGCTACTCATAACAGAGCACATGTGCACGCACTTATAAGCATATGTAGATGGTTGTGCTGTCAATTCAGATAGCAAGATTAAAAAATTAGGAATTATTGGAAAAAGGAAAACAAGTAGGTTCCCCTCTCATCCCTCTGCTATCACTAGGAATATTTCTGCAGCAAAAGCTGATTAAGATTTTGAGATGGACTGTGTATTGGGTGGGCAGTGGTCATTCCCTTTTGACTGACTTCGAGTATTTGCTGGGGATGTCTGTTTAAACAGAGAACTATTGCTACAAGGTAATTCAAAGTCATAAAACTTCACAGAATAACCATCTTGTACCTATACACATTAATACAGTTATCAGCAGAGGCCCTCACAGCTTCACCGAAGTCTTGAAGGAATGTACAAACCTTGTGCAACTACTGCAAAAGTAGCAGAGTAGAAAAATGGGCCACAACTCTCCAAGAAACCAAAACATTCAAAGATACATGTGCATAGAGAAAGCAATTTAATTCCCTTTTAAGTTTCCTAGACATGCACAAGTTAGAATCCATTCACTGCAGCAGACAAATCTCTCAAAACTTGAACACAACATGCCCCCTTACTCACTCTTGAACTAATTCATTGCTTCTCACATCTCAAAAAATGCAAGAACATTCAGAGGCAAACATACCGTAACTACAGCATCAGCATACTCCACAAATGATGACGTGCTTCTAGAGGGAAAGGAACAAGATTCCCTATCATCCTCACTAGATGGGGTTATTTTTTTCAGACTTTGCTTTGTGGTCCCAATCTGTGGGTTTAGGATCTTTCCTCTCTTCCTTTGCATTTCTTCTGCAGATTCAGAACTACTTTTTCTGCAAATTAAAGATAAAAATCCCAGTGGTTTTCATCCACTCCACTCAAAACAAGTACAGTCAGAATTGTAATAGAATTGATCCATAAAAGCAATATGTAAACAGTATTACAGGAATCCAGTTCACAATACAGCAAACACACACCTCAGAGATGCTTGAAAATTCTTAAGGAAAAAAGAAAGTTAACCCAGGGACTTCTGTATTACTGATTATTCTGGCACACGAGGAGTTTACAGAGTGTAAGAGGAACACTTAACAACCTCCACTCTTGAGAACAAGAATATGCCACCTGTCTCTGAACTAGAGCCTGTAACTACCAGATGTTCAGAACAGCTTCTGAGAGGAACAGAGATATAAACCTAAAGGAAGAATTCAGAAGAGCACACCTCATGCAATTAATGAGAAAAAAAAAAAAAACAGCAACATTATTTCCAGGGATTGGACTACATCAGACTCTCTTAGACTGTCTACACCAGAAAGAAGAATCCCTGTTGTAGGGCTTCAGCCTGTTGTTAGCATTGTACCTGTTGTTATATGCAGAAACAGAAGTCACAGTGACGAAGTATAGAGGAAGTACACACTGTATCAAAGCTACTTCTCATGTTGCTAAGTAAGAATTTACAGTTTAGGAAGTAAATCTGAAAGCAAGGATTGTTAATTTCAATTATTTGTTACCCAGCTGCGGTAGATATCTCAGATACAAATAACCAGTTTTGTTGGGAACATAAATGTAATGAAAGAGCAAATAACAGGATCAGGACAGACCTGTGGAGCACCACAGTCAAAAACAGTGTACAACAGTGTAAAAGTACAACAGAGAGAAGAAACTAAAAACATTTAAATACTATAGAAAGGTATATTAAAACAAGAAAACATAGTTCAAATAGTTGGATGGACAGATAAGAACAACATCCTCTGACCTGTCAGGGTAGAAGGTCCAATGGGGAAAAAGATTAAAATTAGTACTTGTAGAAACATAGTGAGTACTACATCCAAATCTTATTGACAGAAGGCCAAAAATCGTAACAAATGGATGGGTGCATATATCAAGCATTAGACTGAGCTAAGAAAAACAATTATCCTAAGTCTGTATTACAGCTTCATGGATATCTGTATCAAAAGAGTCAGTGT